TAAATCCATTAATACTAGAATAATATTCATTTCATATAAAATATATCCCTGGTCAAAATCTTTTTTAATAACATAGGATTTTTTTAGTTAAGGACATAGTAGAAAAAAAATATAACTCTAACGACACAAGAGAGATGGCAACCATCAAATAAGATTCATTAACTCCCTCAATTTCAAGCTATAGAAGATTACAAGTCAATGACATGTAAGGTTGTTTAAACAAAGAGACCATGAAGAAGTTAATGACCTTATAAAGAACAATAAAGATATACCATGAGGCAAGCAACATGATCTCAGCTTGTTACATCAATCATTAGAATTAACATAATATTATAATATCAGCTATTGCACTAAAGAAATAGGTAGTGTCAAAAACATCAGATTACTATTGTTAAGTTTTTCAATTATATGAGCAATATCTTGAAGGCATATATAGGTAGAAATTGGCAATAAGATATGATAATGGATATATAATATAAAGAATGAAGAAAGGTATCAAATATAACACTCTCTTAGCTTCTAAAATATTGTGACATAATTATCACCTTGACATCATCATGTAATAGTGTAATATAATCTTTAGTTATCTTCCTAGTTGTTGTAGTGATCCCACATTTGTTGTACAAACATCAAACAATTAAGGTCCACAATTAGAACTATAAATTCATGTATATAAATGAGATTTTTTTTATATTTAAATCACTAATTATATTATTCCATTAAAATATTACAACTTTCAATGACATCAAAGAAATAATAAAGCAAAAAATGAAGACTCTAACTAAAAAAAAATAATAATAGAAGAAGAAAATAAGTGTACACATAGCCATACTTGTAATATAGCAACAATAATAATTTTGTGTAGTTATGGCTCTAACTATGAGGTCTACATAGTAAAAGCTTGAAAAGAACTTGTCTCGCTAATCTCTATAAAATATAACTAGATGTAAGAGCTTGCAACCTTTGAATGCAATGGATTCATCAACAATGCAAAATTGGCATTTTGAGCCACATCAATGACCACCATGACTATCTACAATTTTTTTTGCTTCGATCCTTCTTTCAAGTTTGGAGTCTAATTCTATTAATAAATAAAAACTAGAGTTTATTTTCTCGTCAAAGTTGCAATATTGATTGATGGAATTCCTCAAAAATTCAATAAAAATCTAATATTATTATGTAGAAATGAGATCAACTCTACTTGCTCTTTTATGTAAAATCAATAAAATACTAGGCTATGTTGCTTCATGGTTTTTTTTTTTTTTTTTTTTTTTTTTTTTTAATTTTTTAAATTTTTTTTTATCAATAATTCTAATTCTAATACTGAATTTTATCTTAGTTGGTCAAATTTTTTTTCGATGGTGTTTTAACCATGACTTTGATTAAACATTAATTAAGACTAGATTCAATTGAAGTTCAAGTTGCAAAAGGTTGACCAACAATCAAATAGTATTGAATAACTTTTTAGTAATTGGATCTTATATTCTAAACTTATAAAGGTCAAGATGTGGCATGTGTTCTAACATAAGTTTGCATCAAAATTTTTAGATACATATTGATTAAATGAGTTTTTTTTTGGTTGTGTTTGGAGCAAGGCAAATAAAAGATAATAATACAACATTGCTTTACTTACATGAGCAGGTAATATATATATTGCACAAGATCCAAAAAAAATCATAAAAGCACTAAAAATGTATGCCAATAAAAATTTTTATTATCGTGTGAAAATAATGTTCTTGAAATGTTTGTAATTTTTATAAAAAATCATTTGACTAGAAGCACTTTCTAAAAAATGATTTCATTCTTGAAATAAATCCACAATTGTAAGTAGCTTTTTACAATAAATCTTGTTGTTGATCTTAATTATTGAAAAAAAAATTAAATAAAAAACTACTAGGTGAAGTTTGTCATCTATTCTCATTTGTAATAATATTGCATCTTAAGAAAAGTATGATGCATTTTTTTATATAAAAAAATTTTAAAAAAATTGACTTGATACAAGATTCATATAGAAATAAAAGTTGACTTTAAAGCTTCAAATGTTGTTTTAGTTTCTTTATTCTACTATAGTTTATCTTTATAAGTTAAATGTGTATGAAGAGTTGAGACTTAAAAAAATTCTTGATAAAAATTTGATAATAATTAGCAAATTCCAAAATATATTAGATATCTCTTATTATTTTTAAAATCTTTCAATCTATGATAGTCTAAACTTCTTTAAGATCTATTATAAGGCCGTCATTTGAAATAGTATATTCTAAGAAATCAAATTAATTTTTGTAGAATACATACTTTTTTATCTTTGCATATGGTTTGGATCTCTAAGTTTTTGTAACATGAAACAAACATAAATTGCATGATTTTATGTATCTTTAGAATAAATTAAAAAATTATTTAGATATCAAATGAAAAATCATCCAAAAAGTTCTTTAAAAAAATTGTCCATAAGATGTTGAAAAGAAGTTGATACATTTGTAAGTTCAAATGGCATGATATTATATTCAAAATCTCCATACTTAATTCAAAATGCATTCTTCTATTCATTTCATTTTTTAATACATATCAAATTGTATACTCCTTATAAATCTATTTTTACATAAATTTTTGTTTGATTTAATTAAGAAGTTCTAATATTAAAGATTGAGGATATCTATTCATGATAGTAATCTTAATGAATATTCAATAATCCACACATATATATAATGATTTTTTTATTTTTTATTTTTTTATTTTTTTTATAAATAAGACAAGAGTTTCTACTAAAAATTTTGATTGACATATAAAATTCTTGGCTAAGTTCTTATCAATGTATTCTTTAAGTTTGACGAATTTATTTTGTAATAAATTATAGATTGACTTAAATTTACTTAAAATTCCAATTAAAGTCTCTTCACCATTAAAAATTGGTATGGCATAAATAACAAAAGGTAGCTTTTTTTGCAGCAGCATATATAAAAGTTTTTAGAAATATAAAGAAGGATTTGGTTGTATTAGATTTATAACTTTTTGCATACTTAAAAAATACTTAGTTATATTCTAGAAAAAATTGAAATCATAAAAAATTCAATCTATCAAAGGGCTATATTTTTTTAATAATGATCATCCTAAAATAATTAAATTTGACAAAAATTTAATAATATTAAATATTACTAAATTATTATGATCATTTGTTGCAACATCTATAGGAATAGTTTTATAGATAACATCTCCAAAAGATAACAATTGACTATCTATGACTTCTATATGCATGGATTTAATTTTCTTTATTAAACATATTATATGTCTTTCAACAAATTCTTCATTTAAAAAAAAAAATTGAGACTCTTGAATCTAACAAGATAAAGACTTTGTGATTTTTAGGTTTTAAATAAACATCTATTATAAAATAAGAAGAGAATTTTAAAGAGAAAATATGACCTTCACTAGGTGTTATATAAGATTTTAGCTATATGGTTCCTATTATAGTTGAACAAACCCATTTTTTGACATATTGTGTTTTTTAATAGTTATCATCTTCATTTTGTGGTTGTGTGACTTCTTTGAATAATTTGAAGAATATGCTTAGGTTTTCTATAATATAAGCACAATCCTTCTTAATGGTGTCACATTTGTTTTTACTCAATAAGAAATTTAAAACATATTGCATCAATTTGCATGTCTTTAATTTCCAAATGTATATGTTGAAAAGACATTGGTGTTGCTATTGAATTGTAATATGGCTTTCTTCACCTCATATTGTAATCTGTAGAGAAATTGGCTAATGAATGCAATATCATCCCATTTAATATTAATCACAAATTATTGACATTGTAAAACATATAATGTTATTAATTGATTGTCTTGATGCAAAATACAATTCTTATTGGTTGTAATATGAATTTTATCATATTTTCTATACATAGATAAAAAATCTGCTAAAAAAATCTCCAAATTATTCAATATTGAATCAAGTTGTTTAAAAAAAGATAAAAACCATAATTAAGTAGGACTTGAAAGTAGTGTTCTAATAATCATGACTTGTGATATTGGAGTTGGATAAGTTTAAGATTGAAGTTCAATTATTGGTTATGTTTAATTGATGAATCTTTGAAACTTTGATCTTATACCATCAAACTTCTCCAACAAGACAACTCTTGGTTCTTTGATACTTAAAAAATCTTCTATCATAGGATAAATAATATAGTTTGGTGTAAATATTGAAGCATCTCCAATAATCTCTATATCTTTACTTTCAACTAATCTTGTTGTTCTTTAAGGTGGTGAATTGAATTGATGCATTGTAAGCATTAACTTCTTCATTTGCTTTTGCATTTATATCATTGCATTCTTCATTTCAACAAGCTTTATTATAATAACACAATAATATATATATATACATATACATATACATATATATCTTATTATTACTTGAAGTTTTAATATTATAAATGTATTCTTGTTAATTCGTTAAGAACAAGAATTCAAAGAATGTACATATATAAATGAGACATATATCAAAGAGAAATAGTATATATATATATATATATATATATATATATATATTCAAGAAAATATTAGAATGGCTACTGCAAAAGATTAGAAAACTAAGGATTCTTGAAACCAGACTAAAAGTAAAAAAAGAGTCGATAAGAGTGATAAAAACCTCACTCTTACTTCTATATATATACTATTTAATTAAGAATTGTGTAGAGACATATTTTAAGACATCCAATTCATGTGTAACTTACAAGACAAGTTTCTTACAAGTGCACCATTAAAGTAAAAATCTAAAATAAATTAAAATACTAAAAGTTGAATATCTTTAACAAATTTACAAACATAACACCTATAATATAATATTGTATAACAAGTAATACTACTTGAATGTCACAACAATGTTTGAGAAATGTGATGAAGGGATCACTCACCAACAACAACCACAACTAATTGGACTTGCTAGGAGCGAATGTGGTCTCCAATTGTCCCTCCACAAGTTTTGTGCTTGTCCGAAGACGTGAAGATACGCACTCAGATGTTGCACCAACTGATTTTGCGGCGTCTTGACGACGGGATGTTGGATTTGCAAGCCCAGTTTAAAAAAATCGTGTGGCGTCTCAACTCACGACTATACATTAGGTCTTGCGTTTTGGAGATGGCTGAAACGGGTCTGTGACATCTGGATGCTGTTTTGGGTCGGCAGGGAACTGCAGATTTGGCTTAGAATTTGTTTTAGGGTTAATGTGTCTCAGATTCCAGACTCGGAAAGAACACGCACGCGAGGACCTAAATCACTTGTCAGAATCAATTTGAGGAAGGTGTACCGCAAGCAGGCGAGTGATTTCGTGTAGTGGTGATGATGTTTGGTCATGGAGGAAGGAGGCTTGTGTACCCCTTCAAGCGCATGCTTGCGCATGTTTTGTTAGGCGGTGGTCAGGCAAACCATTCTACTTCACGTGGATCTTACGCAGCATGTAAGTTCGGTGCAGCATACAGCTCCTTGCGGGAGCGACGAGGCGTGGTTGCGGTGGGGATTTCCGGAGGAGTGGATTCCTCGATTGCAGCTCTGCTCCTCCAACGCCAGGTTGAAATTTCGTTTCGGGATTGCCTTAAACCCTACCTCTGGGTTTTTGGTTTGATTTTAAGTAGAACCCTACCTTAATTGTTTTGTCATTTTTTTGTAGCACGTTAATTGTAGGTTTCAGATGGGTGATCGTGTTCGTATTCAGGGATATGAAGTTTTTGGAGTGTATATGCGGAATTGGGACGCTCGCGATGAGGCAGGGGGTGGTCACTGCTCAGCTGATCAGGATTATGAAGACGCGCAACGAGTTTGCGAACATCTTGGTGCTCTCTTGTGTTTTCTTTGACCCTTCTTCTTTTGCTATTGCTTTAAAAATTCGTCGAACTTCAAAATGTTTTCATCACCTGCTAATTGCAGAGTCTGGATAATCGTGTGTTATGTGAGCAGGCATAAAATTGCATCACTTGGATTATCAGAAAAAGTATTGGACTCAAGTTTTTGAGAATTTTACGCAGAAATTTGCTATGGGCCTTACTCCTAATCCTGATCTTGATTGTAATCAACATATCAAGGTACCGCATTAACACAATTTTTGTGATTTTCATGACTTTGCTGGTTGCAATCATTGTCGATTCTCGAACGTTCCGGGCTGCAATCCTGCACTTCTCATTTCTTTCCTGCTCTATCTTTGAGGGCTTGTTTTTGTGAGTGGACGTCTTGCTCTTATCTAGGATTTATTGTTGATGAATTCCTGAATGAAGTATCGAATGCACTTCTCCCAACAAGTTTTTTCTGGTTTCAGCATCTTCTGACGTTAGAATATGATCTACTATTACCGTATCAGCTAGATGCTAAACACTTAAGCATCACGCGCCGACTTTTCATTGCTTGTGGCAGTTTGATGCCCTGTTGGAGAATGCTTTGCAAATGGGGGCCGACAAATTTGCTACAGGGCATTATGCTCGGCTCTCGCGACCTCAATGTGGCGGTCCTGTGCAACTACTTCGTGGAATTGACGAGGACAAAGATCAATCTTATTTTCTAGCATCTGTGGTATGACTTCAACCCTAATTTTGCTGCTGATCTCCGTTCTGGGACCTTTGGCTCGCTTTCAGTACTGTCAATGTACCTATGGTATACCTAGCTGCATTTCGGAAAGTATGAGCGGACACCGTAGTTCTTGTCGTATCTATCATCATGTGCAAGATGTGCGTCGTTTGATTCGCCGATTCTTGTAGGGCTCAGCTGCATTTGAGAGGGTACTTTTCCCACTGGGTGGTTTAACAAAAGCTCAAGTTCGTGACCTAGCCCTGTCTGAAGGTCTTGTAACAGCCACCAAACGCAGCAGTGCTGGGATCTGTTTTGTTGGGAGGCGCAAATTTCGAGATTTCATATCAGAGTACGTGGAAATGGAGCCTGGTCCTTTTGTGTGCGTGGACGGGAACACCCACCTGGGTTTGCACACTGGTATAGCAGCTTATACACATGGTCAAAGAGCAGGAATTTCGGGCGTTCCCAAGCCGTTCTACGTTGTGGGAAAAGATGTGCAAAACAACGTTGTCTATGTGGCAATGGGTGCGGACCATCCTGCTCTCTTCTGCACTTCTGCCGTCGCAGGTACGTTAAACTTTAGGTTAAGTAACTTCGCTTTATCACTTGGATTGCTTCACACTTATTCGGAAACGAGGGCTGCATCCTTGTTTTTATTTCCATTCTTTCTTTTTCATCAAATGTTCACCTCCTAGTCAGCTTCTCTATGTTCCTTTCTCTCGATCTCTCTCTCCCCTTCCCTTCCTGCCTTGGAGCTCGTTCTATGTGTCACGTAATCATATGATGACGGACATTTCAATTCTTTCTTAAACAGGTGATCCATTTTGGATATCAGGAAGTCCCCCTAAGCAACTTCAGGATGGCCAACCTCTCACATGCATGTTCAAAGCTCGCTACCGGCAGTCATTGGAGAGGTGTACAGTTTGTTTCTTGGATTCGAAAAATGAGGTTGCAGTTTCTCAAAGTATGGGTGTAGCTGGAAAACATACCTCAGAGTTCAGATCCAGCGATTTTTGCCGCCCACCCCATACCCTCGAAGAAGGAACAGGTCTATTGCAGGTAACGACTAGATCTAGATACTGTGTTGATGTCTTTGTGAAAGTGATAAAAGGTTTTTGTCCGAAAATATTAATGACAAAATGCAGATTGGTGATAACTTTGTTTATATATTCCTATGTGTAGATACGTTTTGAGGAGCCTACACGAGCCATTACTCCAGGGCAAGCACTAGTATTGTACGATGGCGATGTGTGCCTTGGTGCTAGTGTTATAGCTTATCCAGGCCCTTCACTTTTTGAGCATAATCAACTGCAGGAGGAGCTCATTCAAGCTTCAGTCAATATTTAGGCATGTGTCAAACTCCATTACACAATTACTGCTAAGCCATGCCTTTTAGTTAAGGTACAGGGTTGTCCTGAAAAGTAAAATAGGCAGCAGACGCATAAAAATTAATTCAGAGGACGTAGCTGACACAAGGGATGTCTCTGCGCAAGAGCCCGTCTTTGCGGTAGATGTATATAGCACCCAAGGGACGTCAAGAAGGCTGGGAAGCAGATTCTAGAGTTCTCAACCACCCCACGTTTTTCGAAATTTTTGTTTATTTTGACAAGTAGAAATGCTTAGAAGAGATGGTCAATGTTTTTGTGAGTCCTTAGAGTTAACACCACTTTCAATCACTCCTGGCAGGATGTGCATTGTGGACATGTGACATCCTAGATCACTGGAAAGGTTTGGCTGCGAAGAAGATTTAAGCCAGTTGATGCAATATAGTATCAGGTAGGCCATTACCGGTTGGTTTTACAACACCCATCAGAGCTCTAGAAGAATAGAACTTGGTATTCAATTAAGAAACCAAATACATGTAACAGTGTGCCCAACTGGTTCCTGGAGATTGCACCTTATTGCTACCAGTTCAAGACACAGATTCTGCAGTAAACAAGGTGCTGAAATCTTGAAGACTGCAGTCACTTGAATAGCCCATTTAAAAACATGTCCGCAGGTCGGTGACCTGTTATTCTAAAGCTCCTGTCCATTACCAAGGTAGCATGTCATTACAAAGTTGAACCAAGATAAATACATGTTCTATCTAGGTTATTGTCAATTAAAAATGTACATGCTCATAAAACATTTTAAATTGTTTTGATTTGCACTGGTTCTTATCTCATGTAGAGTTTCTTTAAGTGAATAGTGTTAGTCTTAAAAGTATCAATTATCGCCAAAAATAGTTTATTAGAATTATTTTAATTGATTATTGAAAATAATAATAATAATAATAATAATAATAATCATTCTAAAATAAAATGCAATAAGATAAAATTCGACATTGTCAACTAATCATAAAAGTACCAAGCTAAGTCCAAAATCAAATGTAATTTCTTCTTACAAAATATTTAATTGCATTTACATGTCCTATTAGTGTCTACAAAAGAATCTTTTAATGTTCTAAAAATCATCTTTGGCTCCATTCCTTAATTTTTTTTTTTTTTTTTTTTTTATCTTACAAATCTCATTAATATATTGTAATCTTAATATAGTCCCTAATAAAAATCTATTGAAGATTTTTGAATTCCAAAATATGATATACCTCTTTGATTGATAAAGGTTTCTTTTGTTCTATAGAAATTTAAATTTTTTTAGTTCCATTAAAAATATATATATTTGATATTATATGATTTAAGAATTAATTAAATAATATAATTATGTCAAATTAATTACATCATTTTTGTATTGATTTATTTTATAATTCTATTTTTTTTGGTTTCATTTTTTTTTTAGCCATTTATAGTGTTTATGATCTTTTTTTAGTTTCAATATACATCAAGATATCATACAAATAGAAGATTATGAAGATTTGTGTATTTTTATTTTTATTATTTGACACAAAAATCAGATATTCTTAATGCACTATTAGAGTGGAAAGAATACATTAGACTAATTAACACCTTATTAAGTAGCAAGTTTTTTAAAATTTGTCAAAGTTGATATAAAAACAAAATCAACATAAAAAGGAGATTTTAACAAGACTGGTCATAATACTTTAAATATCAACCTATAGTTTTTTTTAGATGATTCTCTTCTTTATTTTTACCTAAAGAGGTCTATAATTTTATTATTGCTAATCTACTTTATTTGTCATGTTATTATGCTACAAAGTAGGTAGAAGTTTTTTTATTTTTTTATTTTTTATTTTTTATTGTAAAACACCATTAACATTAAATGTTTTATTACATTACTATCTTTTATTTATGTTTTTTAAAGTAATTATATTTCTAATTAAGTTCTTTTATAATATAAAAATTATAGACCTCTTTAGGTCTATAAAAATTATAATTAAGTTCTTTTCTTCCATTCATCCAATAATTGTGTTACAACACTACACTACTAGCTAACAAGGATATTTCTATTAAATCCAAAGAATACATATTCTTATTAGATTCAGATGTCTTGGTATCTGAACTATATCTAGATCCTAAAACTAGCATGTATCTCTTCATTTGACTCACTTCATGTTTTCTTATGGTACTTAGATCAATAACTAAATCTCCTATTGTATAGTATATACCTATAATTTTGTTGCACTATTAAATCTCAATCAAACCTAATGCAAATCTTAAAGTGGTTGATTAGTCTCTTTCTAAAAACAATGGAGCATGGTCCACTAGTCAAAGATGTAGAGAATATTTATCTTATATTGACTTGTCATTGTAAGTGTGACTCCTTGCACTTATGCCAGTAAAGACTTGCTATTTCCATAATAGATTAATTTATCTCTATTTAGTTGAGAGGTTCTTTATTCATTTTATTTTAAGATATAATCAAGGTTTTCAAATAGCTTCATTTTCCTACTTCCAAAATGAACTTTAAAGCACAAAAGTCTTAGATGTGATTATTATCTTTAGTCTTAAAGTGAGTTATTGTGTTATTTAAAAGGTAATTTTTGCTTCTTAAGTGAATGCATTGAAGCTCCAAAATATAGAAGCTATGTTGTTTTGTTAATTATTATTGTTTTCTTATGAAGTTATATTGCATGATTAATTATTTCAATTTCCACCTTTGATGGTTATTGACTTCTATCTAATTGTGGACTAATATTGCTATTGAATATTTAGCTAAATCAACTAGTTTTCTTACTACAATTAATATTAATTATTGACCTATTTTTTTCTTTTGTAATGATTATGTTACTAGACTAATCAATTACAGATGATATATGGCTACTGTGTGTTAGATACAAAGTTAGCAAGTTGTTTAATAATCCATCATAATCTCCTCTCAAATCTTGTGCTTTAAACTTATTAGTAGTATATTTTTTTGGAGCCTCTCTAGCTTATAAATAGTTGAAAACTTATATATTAAGTAAATATTAGTAATATTTAGATCCTATTAAACTAAGATTTTTAATAACTTTACTAACTTAGTTATAGAATTAGAGGTGATTTTAATTACTACCAATAACAAATCTGTGATTGTAGTTCTAAGAATCAAATCTAACTAGTACTAAATTTAAATTGATTATATTTCCATTATCTTATGTTCAATTCAATATTGGCTAATAATATTTGGATTAAAATTTCTTAAATTAATATGCAATGATGAAGCCTTAATTTTTTAAATGGATGAATTTGATTTAGCTTAAGTAAAAGAACTTGAAATAACAAAGTAAAAGAATCCAATATGAGAAAATGAATTGAACATAATATTAGTAGATAAATCCATAATATCTTAAACAGATGATTTTAAATTAACTTAAGTAGAAGGATAAGAATCCTTTTATATCTTTGATATACTTAAAATTAGAAATTGAATTCTTATATTATCCATGCAAGATTTTTTTTCTTTATATATAAATAAAATAAAACCTTTATATTTGTGAAGATATTTTTTTCTTATTCTTTAAAAGAGAGGTATTTGTAACTTTAGACTTTTCTTATTGTTCAGATATAGAGATTCTAATATCAATCTTTAATATAGCATTATCATTATTTAGAAAGCTAATTTTACCTTTGATTAATATTTAATATTAGTTGTAGCAAGAAAACTAGTTGATTTAGCTAAACACGCAATAATAATATTAGTCTACAATTGGATAGAAGTCAACAACTATCAAAGATAGAAATTGAAATAATTAGTCATGTAATACAAATTTACAAGAAAACAACAATGATCAACAAAGAAAAATAGCTTCTATATTTTGGAGCTTCAATGCACTCACTTAAGAAGCAAAAATTACCTTTTAAATAATACAATAACTCATCTTTAGACTAAAGTTAATAATCACATTTAAGACTTTTGTGCTTTAAAGTTCATTTTGGAAGTAGGAAAATGAAGCTATTTGAAAACCTTGATTATATCTTAAGACACAATAAATAAAGAATCTCTCAACTAAATAGAGACAAATTAATCTATTATGGAAATAACAAGTCTTTATAAACATAATAAATGTTTAAAAAAAAAAAAAAAAAAAAAAAAAAATACATAGATAAGGATGACTTATAGATATTGTTGTGAGAGCTTCTCATTAAAATTTCGTGTATAGTATATTTGTGATGCTTTCTTGCTGCATTTGAGGCCATTCCACTCCATTGTTGTGAGTTTGGAAAGAGTGTGAAGATATTAGAAGCCCACTCCAAGAATTATATGATTTTTGATGATTTTTTAATATTTTTTATTTTATCTTTTATCTTTTAAAAAAATTATATGCAATAAAAGATATACAAAGTTCAATGATGTCTTATGCTAATAGAATTAGAAGGAGTGCACAAGCTAGTCACCAAAATAACTTCTTTAATATTGGCAAAAATATACACTTTTCTATAGATCTTCAAGAAGAAGAAGTTATTGTGCAATTTGATCCCCTTCACCAAACTTGTACTTAATTATATAATTATATGGTTGATATTTTAATAATATATAATTTTTTAAATTATATTTTTGATATATATATACATATATATATATATATATTAAAATTATTCTATTAAATATGTAGATTTTTAATAATATTACTAATTGAAGTCTTTTATATCACATTTCATATGGATTCTTAAATAATTACTCTATTTTTCATATATAGGATATTTTTTTCTTTTTCTTTTTTTAATCAATTTTTTTATTAAAGAGATTCTTTATTTTTGTAAATTTTTTTCCAAATTATGTAAAAAAAATTATAAAATTCTAAGATTCATAATAAAATTCAAGAAACTTGATGGAGTCTAAAGACAATAATTATTGCTGAATATATTGCAATTACTTTGCAAAATTGCATTTCTTTGCTGAAAATTTTTGAAACCCAAAATCCCCTATTCATGAATTCACCACATGCTTGAAAAGCATTCTTTATAATAACTAGGCATTTTGCTTGGCAATATCTTTATCATAAAAATACATAGATGCTCTATTGAATAAATGTGTTTTTAAAAAAAGATTTTCATCATATTTTGATGCAAGTGGAGATTATAAAACAAAATATATGAATTAGAGATAGAAAAAAACTAATTTCGCTAATAAGCTAGTATTATCTATCCATAGATTTCATATTGTCACTAGATGCTTTTATAATACGATATTACCTTTGCTATATTATAAGGTCGGTTTGCATTACATGACATAACTTATATGAGGTTAAAACTGATATAGATCATGATATTATTAGTTTTTTTGAAATACATTTTATGTGTAAACTTGTTGCTTGCTTGGTGCATTTCCTTCAGCATGTCCAATACCTTGTCATTGCATGTAAGTCACAAAATGTGTGTTAATACCTACCTTTCAAGTCTTGAAGAATTCACAAGGAAAGCACTCTAACTCATCTCTTTAAACCAAAACATTTAACTAGCATACTATAACAATGTTGCACTTCACGAACATATAGTAACTACAAATCTACAAACAAAATGATGTACAACCTTTGATCTTCTAAACAACCCTTTCTAAGTAGGCCAAAACTAAGTTTAATCTTGTGAAAGCATCCTCATAAGTTAGTATTAGCAA